GGCGGCGGCGGTGGTGGCGGCGCGTCGCCTGCCTCCTCTCCCTCTCCCTGTCCGTCTTCCTCCACGACAGGGCATACCAGCCGGCCTCGCATACTGCCAACGCCGGAGCCGTATCGAGTACGGCATAGGGATTTCCGACACTGGCGGCAGCTTGGACATCTCCGCCGAGTCGCCACTGCCGCTAAGGACGATCATGCCGCTGGCAAAAGCCCCCTCGCTGCTGCTGCTGCTGCGGCGGCGGCGGCGACGGCGACGGCAGCTGCGGCGACGGCGACGGCGGCGGCTGCGGCGAGCCACTTCGCTGCTGTGGTTGCACAGGAATCACCGGCGCGCGGGGGCCAGGCGGCTGCCAGCTGTAGCAGCACCCGGTAGCCGCTCTCCGCCGCCGCCGCCGCCGCCACCGCCTCCGCCACCGCCGCCAGTACCTCCCGACAGGTACGCCGCGAACGCCGCCGCCACCTCCGCTGACGTCGGACCTTGGTGCCTCTCAGCCGCCGCTTTGGCCGTCGCCGCCAACACCTCCGCCTGCCTCTGCTGCTGCGTCGGCGTCGGCATCGACCTTTCCTGACCCCACGTCCCGGCTTGCAGCTGCGGCCTCAGCCCTGTAGATCCGCCGTACATGTTTTGCAACGTGGATACGGTAGATTCAGATCCGTACGACTCGGATAGCTGTTGAGTCAACATCTTCTGCTGCTCCGGCCGCTGCTGCTGCGGGACGCTGTTTCGCGACGGTGGCGGCGGCGTCACCGGCGGTGGTGGCTGTAGCCAGGATGCGGCGCTGAGCGAGCCGTCGCCTGTGTGCGCCAGCGCCGCCGCCAGGCTGGCCCGCGACGGCGGCGGCGGCGGCGGCTGTTGCGACTGTAGCCCGGAATTCACTCCAGCTGACGGCACATTGGTGCCAATGGTGACGACTACAGCCGAGGTTGCGGCGGACGACGCTACAGAGGAAGACACGAGCGTGTTGGGCTGTAGCAGAAACGACCCACGGGTCCGTTCCTGCTGCTGCGGGAGCTGTAGCTGCGACTGAAAATCGAATTGCGAAACGGACTGCGAGCAGCGTGATCGAAGCTTGGCCTGTCGCAGCACCGCTCTCAGCGCCGGTGACACCATCATCCCCTCCCCTTCCCCCTCCCCCCGACTACCCCCACCCCCCACCCCCACCTACTGGCCCCCCGCACAACCCGCAGCAATCGACCACCTCCCTCCCAGCCCCCACCTGCCGTATCGTGTTATCGTCCGCGTGTGCTGTAAACCCCGCGATGCCCTCTGAGCCCGCGGGCACCGCCGTCGCCGTCGTGGCGGCGGCGGCGTGGCGACGGCGGCGGCAGCGCTGACGTCATGGCTTGGTACTCCATCGCCGACCGTCCCGAACCTGTGGCTTCAAAGGAGTACAAGTCATCGCCACCACCGCCGGCAGCGGCGGCGACGGCGGCGGTGCCGCCAGTAGCGGCGCCGCCGGCGGAGCTGTAGCTGACCTGTGCATTGCCGACGGAACCGGATCTTGGCGTGGACGAA